ATTCGGATTTGTGCTATTTATGTGTCCATGGCTGTATATATATATTATATATAGATATATATTATATATATAGATATATAGTTGTAGCACCTTAAGTTATTTCTTCAACTTTCATTCTGACAAGTTGCAAGAGTATAAAATGTTTGGTGATATCCTAATTTAAACTTCCTTACTTGGTTTTTTACGCTTTGAACGATTTTAATAAATTCAATCGGAAAGTTAAATTAATTCATTTTGTACATATATACATACAATTGCTTGGATTCCGATATTCTGATCCTCTGGTTGGGTATGGGAGTTTGGGGTCGTATTTATTCTCCCGATTTTATCTATTTTTGTCAATACTGAATACTATTAACATGCTACATACTAATAAAATGTTTAATGTCATATTGAGTGAAGCCACCGGGATCACTCATTTTCGTTGAGATAACTCACATGTTAGCACACATATGCGGTATAAAATCACCGCGAGGTTCGAAAGTTCGTTGTATGGGAGTTAATGAAAGTATTGACCCGATTCAACCCATTTTTGACCTAATATTGTCATTAAAGGAGTGAATTTGAATTATATATCTCACACATTGACCGTTATTTGGGGTTAAAAGTCAACAATTGATACTGTATTCCAAATATTCGGTACAGAGGGGCTTGAACAGTTTTGTATGGATTTAGACAATTTTTGGTTATAAGGTGGCATACCTTAAATACATTACTTGTACAAAGTTTTATGTCGTTTTATTAATTGCTTCCTTGGAAAGGGAAAGAATCAAATGGAATTTAAAATTGGAGTTGTTGTTTTCTAATTTCGCCCATTTTCGAATTGTGGCATAGTAATTAAGGGGATGGCAAAATACGAAATTTAGTTGAAATCGGTCCGTCGGATGCCTAGTCAAGATTTATTAAATTTCGCTCAAGTTATCGCTTGCACAAATGGACGATTTTTAGGTGATACAAACAACCGTTAGGTAAATTCTTCTTTTTCTTTATTGGGGTAGACAACGCTTACGCAGTTATAGCCGAGTTTACATCTGCGCGCTGTTTAGCGCCAATTGAATATTCAAAGTGTAGCCAGATCCTGCTTCACCTGGGCTCTCCAACGGAACGGATCTTCCTCTTCGATCCCTTCTCTTCCTCATCCCTCGGTGGGTATTGCATCGAATACTCTCAGAGCACGACTATTTTCATCCATTCCATGACCTACCAGAGAAGCCGTTGCCTCTTAATTCGCTGAACTTTGTCAATGCTCTATACTATATCTCGTACAGCTCATCTTTTCATCGACTGCGGTATTCGCCGTGGGTCGTGGTGACTATAAATCCTCCGCAGAACCTTTCTCCCGAAAACTTGTAACACTGGCTCATGCGATGTTGTCATCGCCCATGCTTTTGCGCCATATAACAATACGGGGATAGTGATTCATTTATACATTTTGTTTTTTTTTTAAATTGAGGCAGGATTTTACTTGTCAATTGCCCACTCAGTCCGAAGAGTCATCTGTTGGCAAACGTTGGGTTTCGAAGCTGACATGGATCACTCCATCCCCTGGGAACTTTCTTCCGTATTTTAAGTATCTATTGCCATACAAGTGCATACACATATCAAATTAGCTTCCATATTTACATTTAAAGAAAACTTTTGTTAAGCAAGTATGCATTTATGTACTATATATGCTATACAACTTGAAGGAAAAATGTCCGAATCAACTATCGTCATTAATATCGCCAAAGTTAAGTTTTTTTGCATCCTTGGATTTTTAGCTCATAGGAGCTATCAGACAAACAGTGGGAACGGATTTTCAATTAGGTATTGCGCATCCCAGTGTTTCGTTGATTTTAAAGGAAATGTTCCCAAATAACAGATATAACTAAAGTCCAAAACTAACTGATAAGAAAAAAATTTGACTGCCTGTGGCAAGCTAAGCATTCATCCACTGCAGGCTCTAAAGGCGTTAAGCTTTGTTGAGTGCAAGGCCGTCCACCTGTGCCTATAGTTTCCCTACGTAATTCAGCAATTTTTTTAAATTTTATTCATTTGCATACATATGTACAAACGTGCTTATTCCTAACTTATTTCATTCGCCGTCACTGCGAATTGGAGGGCCGATCTCTTTCAATAACCCTACCATCAGCTTAAACTGCTTCTGGTTGGTTCTTTTTGTTCTAAAAATATCCTCTCATTAATTACACTGGGGAAATTCCAAGTCAGGGTGATGGTACTAGGTCAGTATAGTAAAACCCTCATTTTTTATTTATTTATTTATTTATTTTTTTGGATTTTGCCAAAATGTTACAACTAAGCGAAAAACATCAAGATAAGGAAAAAAGAGGTCATAAGGTCATAAAAAAAACTGACACATACGAACGCCAAACCCTTTGAGGGTTTTACTATACTGACCTAGTACCATCACCCTGGCTTGGAATTTCTCACCCCCCTGATTAGCTGTTGTACTGTGTTATAAATCTGTTCTAAACTGCTTATTTTTAGATACATTTTTATAATCCATATTTTTTATGGAGTGCCAGCTTGGGACAATATTGCAAATGCAAAAGAAACTTTTAAAGACGATAGCCACCTCTGGCACTTTTCCACTGTGAATCTGCATCTTCTGGTTATATATAAATAATATTATATTATAACTCCAAATACTTCAACACATAATTGATCTTGTTTTATAACCATAGTATAAGCTTTTATTATATTAAAAAATGTACTTTAGATCAGCCTTGTTGAATAGCTGTTTCTAAATCTTTCTTGGTATAGTTTGTATTTTAATTGGTTTTCAAATCTGTGAGCTGAGTTTCTATTCTGTTGAAGTCTGAAGATTGTTCAAGTACTTTGGGGCATGAGCCATAGACGACCATCAAGTTCTTCATGTTTGGTAATGTTGTCGTGGTAATTCTGGAAATAGCTTTTTTTCTCAGTACTTTTCAAATACTTTGAAAGTTACAGTAGCTTTTCAGTTGTCGGCTGGCTTCTACTATAAGAATTGTGAGATTATCTTAATTAAAAACCTCAAATAAATACAATTTTGTGAGATGTTCAACCTTTGTTTCTACAACCAGTTTTTGGGTTGTTGAATATTAATTTTTCCGCATTAAAAAAATTATGAATTTATAAATATTAGGACTTATCTTTAAAAACCGGTATTTGGATTAAAAATAGTAAACACCGAAAAAAGTAAATTTTTATCATTGGTTCGTGTTATACCGTAACACTGTATGAAAGAAAAATATGTTTTTACATAATTGCTGATATTATACAAATTTATTCGGATGAAACTTTGGTTTATATGGCTTTCGTTAAAACTCTAATTTTTTTTAATATTAAATATAATAAAGTACGAGTTACAAAGAGTTAAGCTTTTTTTTTTAACAATTTTGGATAAGATTAAAAACAAATAAGTTTGCTCCAGATGTTTAATAATTTTGATATTATATCGGAATGAATTGTTCTGTTAGCCGAATTAACCTGTCTAAAATAATTCTTACGTGTACTCTTTGGGGAAAATAGTGAACAAGAGACATTTATACTCAATAATATGAAAAATAATCAAAATTTCGATACTGATGTAAGGAGACGACTTGAAACGTGAATGGAATTTGAAATAGAACTACATAGTCACGGTCTAAATTAACCCTTCCAATTATAAAATATGTGCGGTTTCAATGATACATATAGCACTCGTTAGTTCACGAAAAGAAATTTTTTTAATAAAACATATACGTATCAATTCGAAACAAATGTCATTGCTACAAACAACTATTTCGATGTAAAATAGAACGACTTCGAAATCGAGGAATAGATTATATTACCTTGCGTTTCATTACTTAAAATTCATTTTCTATTAAAATTAATTTCCACCCCTATCTCTTGAAATAGTGTCTGTCACTAACTTTTGTTTTAAACTAAGTGCTTCCGCTTGTACCGTGATAATGTCCGAGCCTCCTCTTCTATTATACATGCTCATTAGCGAATTGGGCTTGCCGCTAGATTTATAAGTATTAAATGGATTCTCATGTCGAACATGGAATACGGACAGTTTGAGTTCTCTTAAAACTCCATTACGAATTTATATAGCATCAAACGCAGTCACCGGTCATGATTGTCGGGTGAAAATTAAAAGCCTTCAAAATTTATAACCTTCAACAAACCTTTCATGGCATCGCTTTACATGGTACCCGCTTACGATAAGTCTTCGGAAGTTTTGGCTTTATTATAGCGCATGACTTTTGCACCATCTTCAACTCTTTTAAAAGTTTAAACATATACAATCTTTTACAAAATATTATTATTATTTATTACATACATTAAACTTATTATATTTGTATATGGTACAAAAAAACTTGAGGATTGTTTTTTACCTTAAGTTGCTTATTTTCTAACATAAGGGCGTCTTTCTCGGACAGCAGCACCCCTTTGTAGCGTTGTAGCGAAATAAAATAAAAAGTGTATTATAAGTTTTGTTAAACACCTTTTTTTATGTATTTTCAGCCTGAACTTTATCTATGTACGCCAGTAAAAGTCGACTATACTACCAGCTATTTTATAGGTACGTTGCATAATCTAATTTACATACAAGTATAATTATTTATATTTTTAGAATCAATATGTTACCAAATATTTATAAGTTGTAAACTGGTAATTTTTTCGGAAACCAAATATTACGGGAAGTCCATAAACATAAGACAAGTAAAGTCTTCTCTCGACGAACAAAGACCAAATTCTATAAGTGGCTTGTAATTCCCGGCCTGCTTTATGGTGCGGAGGCGTGGACAATGATATCATCTGATGGATGAGTCGGTCTTAATATCAGTTAAATATATTAGAACAATCATACAATTACGGCCCAGATATGATTCCCCCGTGCTTTCTTAAGAAATGTGCCAAATATATATACCAACCCCTAACAAAACTATTTAATTCATCTCTTATGCAAGGCTTATTTCCATCCATATGGAAAAAGTCATTTATAATTCCTTTVCATAARAGTGGATTTAGGTCATCTATTGAAAACTATAGGGTTGCTATTCCCCAGTTGTCTGCAATACCTAAACTTTTTGAAGCAATTATAACAGACAACATAACCTTCCGGTCCTCTCCACTAATTTCTTGTTCTCAGCACGGTTTTCGTAAAGGGAAATCCACAACAACTAATTTGCTTGAATTTGTATCACATGTATCAACGGGCTTTAKGGAGAATAAGAATACTGATGTTATATACACAGATTTTAGTCAAGCTTTTCATTGGTTTTCAACCAATATTGCTAAAATAGGTTGCTTCTTAACTTAGTAATAGAATTCAACAAGTCATATTTAACGATACTCTCCGACATAATCAATGTTCCTTCAGGTTATTTATTAAGGACATATTACCTGTTGTTAAGTTTTCAAACGTTTTATTATACGCTGACGATGTAAAACTTTTTAAATCATTCACCTCAAATAGTGAAAGATGTCAGTTGCAAACAGACTTAAATAACCTAGTTTCTTGGTGTGACAGAAATGACATGTCTTTGAATCTTAAAAAATGTAAAACGATGTGCTTTTTACGTAGATCTGTAGACCCTACTTCATACGTAATACAAAACTTTGGTTGGAGCAAGTATGCAGTTTTGTTGACTTGGCAATAACTATGGACCCCAAACTCAATTTTAATCTTCACACATGTTCCATGGTTTTTAAAGCTTAAGGTGCTCTAAGTTTTGTTAAACGTTGGTCTAAAGAATTTAGAGATCCGCTTACCACRAAAATTCTTTTTACATCTTTGGTGAGGCCTATATTAGAGTATGCTTCCGTGGTATAGAACCCTTGTTATCTAGTTCATTCTGAGAAAACAGAGTCCGTTCAAAAACAATTTTTACTTTTTGCCTTAAATCATTTGCATTTGCGATTCCAGTTTAAATCTTCCCCCTTACACTAACCGTTTAAAACTTATAAATCTCCCAGTCAGTCTGTAGCCCATCTCTCTTGTCTGATATTAATTTTAACATTCCCGCTCCTTCTACCAGGCAGTTTAAACCTTTGCTTTCAAAATTTTCTAGAACAAATTTCGGTGTTAAGCGAACCATTCCGCCGTATATGTCACGATTTCAATTCTCCTTCCAGCACATTTGATCTAACAGATTCTCTCTTTACCATTAAAAAAACTATATTTTATCTACTCTTAACACGAAACATTTAAAAATTATAAACTTTAATCTAATTCTTAATTTTGGCTGTTGAAATTTTTGTTTCTGTAGCTGAGCAGCTTAAGATCGCAACACTGAAAACTCTCTTGCCTTTTATGACTCGGATAATTCCGCTCGTTCGCGGATTGCGCCCCGCGCGTCGGTTGGGCGGGAGGAGGGTAATCGTTGTGTATTATTAATAATGTTCAAGAGAAAGGTTTTGCGGAAGACTTATGGTCCTTTGAGCATTAGCAGCGGCGAATTCCGCAGTCGATGAAACGATGAGGACAGCGAGATATACGGTGACATTGATATAGTTCAGCGAACCAAGAGATAGCGGCCGCGCTGGTTAGGTCATATTGTCTGAGTGGGAGAAAGTGCCCGGCGGTGAAAGCAAAAGAGACCTCCATTCCGTTGGAGAAATTAGGTGGATGAGGACCTGTCTGCACTTTGTACCGAAAGGAAGAAACTGGCGGAAGCGGTGTCTACACAAGTAAGGAAGACGAAGAAGACATATAAGCCGATTTGATTATTTTTCCCATTTAATATTTAACGGTTTTAGCCCATTTTTAAACAAAAAAAAAAAAAAATTGTTGAGATATGCCCACTGCTCCAGTTGAAATCATTACTATGAATGTGTTATCATAAAAGAAAAAAATGCCTCCGAAATTTTGTTAAACGTTGTAATATTAAATTGCTGAAAAATGCAATGTGTACCCTAAAGATAATAACATTAATACTATTTTAATTAAATAAAAATAAATATACATATTCATCCTCTATCAAACACACCTAAGTTCATGTAAGGACGACAGATGTTTATATTACAGAAATTTCAATAAAAAAAGAAACAACTTATAGATGATTTTTTTGTAGTTTGTTCAAGTTATAGCCATTTCAATAAAAATTAGGTGCATTTTTTTGTGTTTTTTTCCATACAAACATTATTGATCCATACATTCAATGTTGCATAAACATTTGACTGTAAAATTTGCCATTTGTTTTGCCAGTTGTCTTTCAAGAAATCAGAAAAAGGAATCTCCAAAGACATAATTTTTTACCACGACAATGTTAGGTCTCACACATAGACTGAAACAACCGCATTTTAGAGCATTCAAAACATTTGATGAATCGTCGCTAGGCTAGTCGCTAGAACATCGTGTCTAGTAGTATGTGTATTGCGTATCAGCGGAACTCGCATAAAAAGAGAAATAACAAGAAAAAGCATTAACTTCGGTTGCACCGAAGCTAAATACCCTTCACAGGTGCATTTCTGTTATATACTATAGTAATCCGTTCTGATCAATTTTTTTGGAGATTATATTGTTACCTTAAGCAGTATTCCATGCCAAATTTCGTGACGATACGACGTTAAATACGAAACTTTTCCATACAAGCCCGCGATTCCGCTTTAATGGCAGCTACACGCTATAATGAGCCGATCTGAACAATTTCATCTGATATAACATAATTTCTATAAACAATAAGTCATACCCAATTTCGTGAAGATATATCGTCAAATGAGGAAGTTTCCCATGCAAGCATTTGATTCCGATCATTTAGTTTGTATGGCAGCTATATACTATAGCAGAGGTGGGCACAAGTTGATTTTCCTATGCACGCGTGCATAGGGCCTCTGCTGCGACGAGCAGCACAAAATATTATATAAAATATTTATAGAATACGAACGATCGATAGCCCTCGGCACAATGAATACTGAATGCTATCATACTAGTGGCTATGGGAAAGCCAAACAGTCGCATGCAAACACTTGTTCAAGCAACACCACGCTGCGCTATTTCAAATATACAGTGAGAGCTAACAATGTTTATGCGCGAATGGGAAGATGATTTTTTCTTTATAGACAATTTGGATGGAAGAGCACAATGTCTTATTTGTTACGACATTGTTGGTCGCAATTCTAAATTTTGTTTAAGCCGACATTATTTCTCTTGCCATACAAATTTTAAACTTTTTACTGGAGGTGAGCGGAAGGTAATGCTTTTGCAATTGCAAGCTGAATTTTTTTTAAAATTCATTGCAAATGATAATAATGATGATACTAAAACTGATAATGGTAAAAATAATAATAAAGATATTGATTTGCCTTTAATAAAGGCATCTTTTACTGTTGCGTTGGCTTTGGCAAAGCAGTGTCGCCCATTTGAAGATGGCATTTTATTCTTAAATTTGTCTTCAAAAGTTTTGAAATGTTTTGGTGAAAAAGGCCAAGAAGTTTTGAAAATCATAGAAAAAGTACCTTTATCTCATCGTACCGTCACACGTAGGACTGAAGATATAAGCAAATTCATCCACTCTGAGACTAAAAATAGATTGCTAAATTGCAAATATTTTTCTCTCAGTTTGGATGAGAGTACTGATCTAAATAGTATTTGTCAACTAATAATTTGTGTAAAAACTGTCGATCAAAACTTTCAAACTTTCGAAAAAATTTTTGATGTTATTGCTTTGCATAGCAATGTAACCAGGGAAATTTTGTACAATGTTTTGGTTGAGAAAGTCTTCTGCTTCGTTGATAAAAATAAATTAGCCGGAATTTGTACGGACGGGGCCAAAGGTAGGGCAATTATTAAAAAATCATTTAAAGGTTCTTTTTTTCCATTGTATAATCCACCAGCAAGCGTTATTCGCAAAAGGGGATTATTTGAAAAGGGCAATGAATATATCAATAAAAATTATAAATAAAATTAAAGGGGGCC